AGTTTCAGGTATAAATACAATGATTTCATACAATTTATCTTGCTTACTAAGAATAAGAATTATAAAAAATAATAACATATTAGTTAATATTAAATGTATTATTACACAGTAAAAATTATAATATTATATTAGTATTCCTTTTTTCATAGAAGCAAAGCATTTGATTATATCATCAACTGAGAATTTTATTTTTTTATTAATTATTAGGTACTATAATACRGTGTTGGGTGGGGGTGATCGCTTCCACCGACCATCCCTAAATTACGTGCTTGTAATTTATTATTATTTTTGAATAAAACAGCATTATTTATTTGATTAAATTCAATACATTACAGTGTAAATAATACATCTATCATGGGGCGTCGTTTAACTGGACCGTCTGCGAGAACTCGAGATGCACAACCCCTACCAATATCAACACAACATAATTCACCTGCGACAAATGATCGAAACAATTTATCACAACATGATGAACTTATTCATTTTGTTGGTGGTTGTAAGTATTATATTTTGTTTGAAATAATATCTACTTAACCTTTCAGTAATTGAAACTTCTTTATGATAAAATTTTTTTTTTTCATCTAGCCTTGAATATTATATTAAGGCAATCAGAATTGATAATTTTTTTCTTTGCCTAACAGACGTCAGACATGCACCATAGGAATTTAAAAATGTCTGTATTCCATTTTACCAATTGATCTAATGAAATAATAAGAATTATAAAAACATATTTGAATTTGTTGTTAAGTCTAATATTGAGATCAGCTTCCACAGATTTTTAATATGCGTGTTAGCCAAAGGCAGAAAATCAYTGCTTCCATTCCTCTTAAGCTATTACTATTAAACTTGTAATAACTTATTGGCTATTTACTCAACTAAACAACACAATTATTGATATTTTTTATCGTTGATCTATGTTATACTATTATTCCTTCTGTCGTATTATTCATTTTCAAATAAATATTATATTACCAGGGGCGGACTGGTCTAGGGTGCTATACACTAAGTAGCACCCCGGGCACCCATTCTTATTTATGATCCGGGCTCACGATTACCACTGTCAGGCCCTTTTTAATTTAACTTTTATTGTAATGTAGAATAGAAAGATAAATTATAATAGAAATTGACAATACTGTTATTATTATATTTATAATATAACATTGTATGTATCACTCATAATAAATCTTAGTAGATTTGAAAAAAATGTATGGGACCTTAATTAATTTTGCACCCCGGCTAAAAATATCCAGTCCGCCCTTGTATATTACTAGAACATCTATGTTAAATTTTTGGTGTTGCGTAGATTTTTAAAAATGTAGGTATTAGTAAAATATGATTTTTTTGTCCTTAAAGATGCAACATTTGATAAATACAATAACATACTRTATAAAATAAAACCAAATCATCTTTTATACTAATCATTTTTAATATAATATTTAAATTAATGTAAATTTGTTAATTAAGATATTATTTAAATATATTTTTAAGAATTACCTATTAAAACGCTTAATTTATATAGCATAAACAGAATAATCCTACAAGCTTTTAAATTATATTTTAATCACTAAATATTTTATAATTAATAATTTCATGTAAATTGTATAACATAAAAATACAAAACATTAATTCTAAACTAAAAAAAAAAAAAAATAAAAATAATTCTGTATGGCTATATATTATAATAAGCCAAGGAAGAGTTACTAATTTGATAGTTTATAATTTGTTATTTCTAATGTTTTAGCATGGAATGTTATTTTTCAAGAATATCAAAATGGATGCCAAGGACCTAATGGTAAGTTCCTTATTCTTATAAATGATAAGAATTAGTTAATTATAAGGTTATTTAATACATTATTTATCCCTATTAAGGATAAGTATAATTGTACTGTAGTTGTATTAACAAGTAAATTGTGTCTTAGTAATGAGTTTATTTTTTATTTTTTCATTTATGGCTTATGCTATGATAAATCAAACACAACTAATTTATTTAAAATTAATAAAATATAATTTACTGTATAACTAAGATAATAAGACAATACCCAGTGCCCAGTAAGGAATGCTTTCTCCAAATCATGGTTATGCTAATTTATAAATTGTTATACACTCATAGTATGGTTGAACAATAATACATATCATCAGCTGGTGCAACCGTGTAAGAATGTACTACGTGATTAGTTACACCTTAAAACCTATTACAATTTACTGCTGTTACTAAAAAAGTTCTCTGCTCAATCTGTATTTACCTTCAATAGCAACTGCTGTGTAGCTAGGAGTAGGACACATATTTTCTCATGTTCTGTTGCCTGTTGGTAAAAGATTTGATGAAATCATGAATACATATTATGTACAATTATACATTAAATAGATGGAAATTCTTTTATACATTATAATTTGATATAAATTATAATTATACATTATTTTATACTCAAAAATGATAAATAAATAATTATAGTAATTGTTTACTCTTAATAATAATAATATTTTTTTTTCTCAAAATACTTGCATAACAATAAAATACATAAAATTGAATAAAAATTATCTACCTTCYGTAAGCATAGCTTGTGTTGAAGG